CGTGTCCCCCCTGGTCCCTAAGGCGACGTGAGAGAGCCTCAGCTGCTGCAGCAGCAGCAGCAGCAGCACGGCGAGCGAGACGTAGGGCGTCAATTGAGTGTACCGCTAATGAAATTGCCGCTGCTGTATTGATTGTTCCAAATATTTCGGCTGCTGCCTCGAGGTTGCTGCTCTCGCTGCTGCTGCCGCTGCCGCAACACCAGCCGCTGCTGCCGCGGCTGCTCCTGCTGCTGTCCGCAGCGTTCTTGTACGGGGGGCCGTCTCTCCGTATTTCCCTTCACTGCATGCAAACTTTCTATAAAAATTAATATCTATCAATTTATTATTTAATGAGGGCAAACCAAAGAGACACTTAGCCCTGGGGCCTTGGGCAGCCACTGGCCCTAACGGGCGCGGCCCCCCACTGACTACTGCCGCAGCAGCAGCAGCAGCAGCTAGAGGAAGACCAGCAGCAGCACATCGGCTTTCCTTTCTCTATACATTTGTGTGGCCAGGTCCCGCATCCAGTGTCTTATTATATTGCTGCTCCGGCTGCAGCCAAAGGGAAACCCCAATACTTGGTTTCGGGGGCCCCCGTGGGGGCCCCCGCTGCTTGCTGCTGTCTGCCGCTGCGCCAGAGCTCGTCGCTCACCGCCTCTCCAGTCTCTCTTGCAAAGCTGCTGCTGTTCCTACGGAGCTCATTAAAGCATTAGCTAGTGCCTCTTTAGAGTAATTAGTAGGCCCTGTGTCTCCTTTAGAGGGCCACTGTGGCTGTGACTCTATCGCCGCACGCGCAGCAGCAGCAGCAGCAGCCAGCACCACGAGCAGCAGCCGCAGTGTCCGCTGCAGCGGCTGCTGCAGCAGCACCTGCAGCAGCAGCGCGGCTTCCCCTAGAATTTCGCAGCACTAATTTCGATAGATTGGGCCATAGGGCGCAGCGCCACCCCCAGCCTTAGCGCAGCAGTGGCTTTGGTAGTTGAGCCCCGCGGCTAGCCTTAACGGGGGCCCCCCTCTAGGAGCAGTACCCCCTCATGAGAGGGGCCCCCCTCCCCTGCATTTGCTTTGCTGGCTGTGGGGCAGCAGCTGGGCCCGTCTGCAGCAGCCCATGCTGCAGCACATCTGCCTCTGCTGCTGCGGCGCTGCTGAGCCATTCCTGTTCGAGTTTAGCTGCAGCACGAAGTTGCTGCTGCAGCGCAACGCAGCAGACGCGTCAACACTACAAACTGCTGCCATAATGTATAAGTTTTAGAGGGCCGCTGCCCATTTGGCGCAGCAGCAGTTAATTCCTCTGCAGTCATTTGCTGAGGGCTCAGTGACCCTCTAGTGAGTGCCTCTTAAGACACAAGACCCCAGACAATACGCCAGCAGCAACTTGCCCCCTGTAACGGCCTGCTGCCCCTCTGGGGCACCCCATTACTGCTTAGGGGCCCTTTGAGCTACAAATTACCCCCACTATCTGGGGGGGCTGCGCCTATTGGCTCTCTTAGTGAATAAAGCCTTAATAGTATCAAATGCAGCTATTTGGTCTTTGGCAAAGCCCCAGCTCTTAGCCACAGAGTTGCTGCTAAAGCCCAGCCCCTGCGAGTTGTGAAGAAGAGGCTGGCTTAGTGACAAACTAGAAAAAGGAATTTCAGTCAAGTCCTCGAGGCAGGCCAGCCCGTGGCTGCAGCCACTTCGCGGGGAGCCAACCAGCAGCAGCAGCAAAGCAGCCCCGGCCAGCTGCAGCAGCGCAGCAGCTCTTGAGCAGCCCTGCTGCTGCAGCAACTCAGCAGCCCTGCTGCTGGAGCAACTCAGCAGCCCTGCTGCTGAAGCAATTCAGCAGCCCTGCCCCGAAGCCCCGCAGCAACTCTTCCCCCTGAGTGCAGCAAATGGCCGCCCCTGCTGCTGCGCGCCGCCTACGAGGCAGTGCTGCCTGTCTAGGGGGCCCCCGGGGGCCCCTGGAGGCCCCAGCTGCTGCTGCCTAAACCCTTAAGACCTCCCCCACGCCCAGCAGCCGAAACCCCCAAAGTGTTGCTGCTGCAGCAGCCCCAACTCCGCCAATCTGCCTCACAAGTGGAGGAGAAGGGACAAAACAAGTGTCACAACTTCCCGCCTGAAGCCCACAATCAGGGGGCCCCTGCTGGGCCCTCTGCAGCAGCAAAAGGGAAAGACGCAGCAGGCGCAGGCTGCTGGGTGCTGCAAGTTTGCTGCTGCTGCATGCAAGGCTCAGCTCCAGACAAATGGCTAGACAGCTAGCTAGCTGCCCGCTGTCCCCTTCGGGTAAAATCTGTACAGAAAAAGGCCGCCGGCCCTCAGCTGCTCACGAGAGCTATCCCCAGCCAGGACGCCCTGCAGCAAGCCCTCAGCTATCCGGCTGGCTAGCCAGCCAGCTAGCTAGCTGAAGCTGGCTAGCTCGCCAGCTAGCCAGCTAGCCAGCTAGCCAGCCAGCCAGCTAGCCAGCTAGCCAGCCAGCCAGCTAGCCAGCTAGCCAGCCAGCCAGTTAGCCAGCTTGCCAGCTAGTTGGCTAGCTGGCTAGCTGGGAGTGCGTTCCTGCGTCGGCCAGTTGGCTGGGAAGCTGGCGCGGGAGGCCTCGGAGGCCTGCGTCTCTTGCTCGAGTTTGACAGCAGCCTCGAGGTTCTCGAGGTCCCTGAGGCGGCGCGTTTGCTGCTGCTGCTGCTGCTGCTGGTGCTGCAGCTCGTAGTGCTGGCGGTGCTGGCTCATGGTGGGGGAGGCGGAGCGGCCGCGGGGCGCGGGGGGCTCGTCGCGGTGTCTCGACTCCCACTGCCGGGGTGTACGTACACCCGAAGGCCCCGCCTCGCCCCGCGGCGAACGCCCTGCTGCTGCTGCAGCAAAGTAGGTCAGCGGCGTGCGGCACCTGGGCGGGAGGCTGTTGCTGAGCTCTCGGGCCACCAAGTGGTGTTCATCTATTAAGTACTGCCGCGCAGTTGTGTCCACTTTCCCCGCCTCCAGGTCCCCCAGCACCACTTCCGCCCCCGGCACTACCACAG